GGTGCCTTTGAAAATACTTCTTGGTGTTGATGTTGAGGTGATAATGAGGTCTACTGCAGTCTAATCCACTCTTGACATTTCACTAATGCTGTTTCTTGGAATGGAATAAACAACATGATAAGGGTACTGTGTCCCTCTGGTCACCAGGCAAAATGTATAAATGTCTTCAAAGCCCTACCAATATTCTGTATCACAGAGCCAGGTGAGGTATTTAGGCACATCCATTGGATTATGACAGGTAAGATGTCTGAGATCATTGTTGCTGCCAGCTGTTGCTCAGCTGTGTACAGTGCTGGAACTTATCATCAGGCATTTCCAAAACAGAAAAAATACCATCCTCATTTACCCATTTACATTTCCCAGTGTATATTATTATATTAAAGAGGTGGTATTATGCTCATTTTCAGGTTCAAAATCTTAATTAGGGGTTGTACCAGAACAGGTTTACATGGTTTAATTTTCAAAAAACACCATATTTTTCTCATACTGCACATTGCTGCAGCTCCTCTTTTCACCCTATGTGTTGTATGCTCTGCTCTTGAGCTACAGAGTGATGCATCTTACTTGTACAAAATCTTTTTTGGGAGTTGCACATGCGCAGTTCCCAGGTAAGGACTACTAGCCAATCAGAAGCAGAGAAGGGCGTGTCGTAAGAAACAAGGTAGTGTGATCCAAATCAAAGCCGCTTCAGACTGCGACCTTAACCTAGCAGATGGTATAAGTTATTACCAGTCCACAGCCACACAACATCATTGTTCCACTCTTACCATAAACCACTACAAAAATCACCATATTTCAACTCAATTTTACATTTGGCCAAACAATTTGAACGTTTGCTCAGTAGCTTTCACATCAGGTGTAACATTAGTATTATAGTTATACCCTTAGCTGTGTTAGCCAACGTTTACAACAACTCCACACTTGAACAGTCTGTGAAGGTACATTGCCATGTTTATTTTAAATATAATTCACAACCAATAAAGCATACTTACAGGTTGTGATTATTTTCCAGGCCCAAACAGAGTCGGAGTTGCATCGTCTTTTAGGACTAAACGTCGAACTGTTGGCGGTGTTCTGACGATCTATGCTGCTTTGCCGAAAAATCGATAGACTCGACTCTACTCGGCCCTGCTCCGTTTTACATTGCAGATAGTACCCAGAGATAGTACGTAGCTTGTCTTCATAGCGACGCCACACACAACTGTGGTCTGTGTGACGGCGGGAGCAGAGGGCTCTGTGAGCTCCTCTCGCTCCTCTCGCGGATTGGCACAGGCTTCCCCCGCAGCCACTTGCGGAGCTCCTCAACTCAATATTCATGCACATTTTTGTTTGGCCATCACTTCTCGTAATAGTGATGAAATTACATACGAAAACTGTAAAATATAAAACTTTCTGTTGCTGGCCCCTGTCTGGCGCATGCAATGATGATGCAGTGAGTGTGTATTCTCTCTGACCAATCTGCAGTCTGTCGTGTTTTCACATTACATTTTCGTATCCTCCAGCTCGTTTGGAACCTCGATGGAGGTGAGGTGATATGAAAAAAAGTATCTGGAAGCAGGTACAGGTACAACATTTCTACAATGGAAAACCAAACAAAGGAGAGTCGAGCCAAAGGGCCTCTGCTCAGACTAGCTTGGTTTGAGGGCGTGCCTGACCCACTAGCCGCTTGGCAAGCTTTATGACGCGTTTTCATTGTGATGTCACAAGTAAAGGAAGTAAAGGGCTGGACTACAAACGAGCTGTTTTCAAGCGGTTCAGAAAAGAGATTTCTGTGGGACATGGGAACTCCCTTTGGGCTGGACTTTAGACTTTTTCACTTTGCAAACCTGTTACATGCACAAAAAAGATATATAACTCAATAAAAGAGAGGGGAAAAGCCAAAAAGCATAATACCACCTCTTTAAATATACAGTAAAGTTAAATTGTGAGAAACCCCAAATCATCTAGATGAGACCTTTCTACTCTTGTAATGATCTTTGAAAACAACTGAATGTGAAATATGAGAGAAGCAATGTAGTGAAGAGAAATGCAGTTGGAAATGGATCCCAGGATTACTAAAGGCAGATGGAGAGTTGACAGGAGGGAAGGGTAAGCAGTGAAGGCATCAGTGATGGGTGAAGGGCAGGTAGTCAGATGGAAATACGTGCCTATCAGGGACATGGGGATTGCTGCTACCCATAAGACAACAGGCTACCAGCTGTGGAATCAGATGGTCTCGTCTAAATCAAGGGTCATGCTAACAAAAAGTCACAGGCTTAATGAGCCCGACTCAGCCAATGTCTCTCCATCTATCTTACCTATCATCTATCATATCTATGTAATCGATCTAATCTACCCACTTCCTATAGATAAACATGGCATAGATAGATAGATTTGAGACACTAATTCTAAACTGCTAACTGGTTTTGTGTGTATTTCTCTGTAACACCCAAACCCATATAATAATATGTACACACATGTCTATGGTGGTGTTGCAGTAGAGACAACCACTCCAAAAGATGGAGTGGACAAGTCTTTCACAGCTCCAAATAAACAGCAGTCTTCTGTTGCTCCTCATAGACGAGGGTCTCCTGAGGGCCAAGGGTATGTGTTGTGCATGTCCAAGCATGTGATGTTTAGATTATACATCATCCACATACTGTAAATACACATGCAGTATTTATGCATTCATGTGTGCACTCTGATGACCATGTCAGTTTAATAACTGTGTACCAACTGAGTGTCATTAATGATACACTGATTCCCTCAAATTTACAGCATGGATTAGTGAGAGTTAATGTGCTTGTGTGAACCAGTCTAACATATTAAATCTTTCTCGTGATTCACTTCCTCTAATGTGTTTTAAGTTGGCTGCCACCCATGTCCCATTACCAAGCCTCACTAAATGTTCTTTTATCAGAGCTTTTATAAGAGATTTGGGATACACACCAAACACCATGTAATAGCACTGACCCATTTAATGTTGTTTAATTTCTCATGGAATGCACAGCATTTCCACCTAATTGTAGTTTGGACTTGAAAGCCTCATGAGGAAGTGTTAACAGTGGAAAATGATGAGGAAGCATGTAAGTAGTAGGAGAAGATGAGATGATGATGCACGAGAAAGACATTAGCTAAAAGATGTATTACAGTCGGTGTTTGCTATTAAAATTTTTATCAGTGTACCTTGACAATGCGGTGCTTAGCAGCACTAAATGGCCTCCATCTCCAAATCACATTTGAGCTCGCACAGAACCACTGTCAACAGGACAAGACATGCACATATATTTTTTAACGCTCTTTAGCATATTAAACACATACTCATACTCTTCTTTACAAAAATCTATTTCAATACTCCGAAGAATTATTCAGAATAAACAAATTACCAGGAAGACAGACCAGCTCACACAGACATCAGTAACAGTTTCAACTTCTAGAGGCCTGATTTTACACTAGTGGTGAGAAGAATGGATAGGTGGATTGAAGTAGAACAGCAGCAGGTAGATATTGAGAGCCTAATCAGTGGTTTTGGAATAACAATTTGAATAGATTTATGTTTATGTATCTGAGTTATCTCTTTTTGCTTGAAAACAGTGTATTTAATCTGCTTCTAACACCCAGTCTCTTAAAGGTAGCTATAAATTGGGCGGTGCAGCCAAATCACAGAAAAATAGTTTAATATTTCTATCTACAGTATATGGTTAGTCTGCTACTGTATGTTTGTATAATTTGGGTGAGCTGACCCTTTAAGAGATTCTACACTTGTTGCTTGCCTATCAGAAAGCAGTGGCCCTTTGTAAAGATGCATAGGTTTCACCTGGATATTCATGACTAACATCTTATTGTCAGAGCTTGAAAATACAATCCTTCCTTTTTAAAGATAAGGTAGAGGCAGTGTGAGGGAAGTGTGGTTTATAGCAGCATTTTTGTTGCTGTTGTTCAGAACTACAGAGAGTGTAGTGTTTTTCAGTAGAGGGGTGGGTGTTGAAATCTCACAGAGCGAGTGTGAAAATGTCAGAACAGCCATCTGTAATCTATAATCCAGAGAATGTCACGAAAATGTAGGGTGAATACTTTAATCCTAATCTGAACATAGCATTTCCAACCCCCAAACGGAATACCAAGATTTGAATTTGTAATATTTTGCATTAAAGGAAGCATATGGCGATGAGATAATTAGATATGTGGGAGTTTATATTTCAGTCACATGAAACAATCATAAGGGTTTCCCAAAGTAGTAAAGTATATGTGTGATTGCCTTCTGTTATTCATTTTAGTTTGGCATGGCTTACAAGATGAGAGAATACCTTTCCAGTGTGTAATATGTGCATGTTTGTTTTTTGTGTTCCAGCTCAGTGCACATGGAAGAGTCCTCAGTAATGCAGGGAGCCCAAGGGGTCCTGGTTCAGAACTGGCCTACTGCATCCAGCGCCGCTGGTAAGAATCAGTCATGCTTCTCTCATCTAAACCAATTACAGCTAATTGAACTATTGGCATGGGCACAGCCAACAAGAAACTTAAATAAAATAAGAGATCTGCTTGGCACATATGGACCTTTCTAGTCCTACATGTCTAAAATAGTGACAACCTTCTACAATTTAGTTTAATGGATCTCTTTTGAACACATCCCATGACACAGATTCAGACAATACCAGCCATGACTATCTTATTCCAATAACTGTACATTCCTCAAGAGCTTATCAAACCATGAGAGAGTAATAAAATGAGGAAAACATAGATATCAGCTACAAGATCGCTCAACCCACTCCTACCACTTCCCAATGCTGCAGGGAGAGAAAATGACACATGCTACGTAGGCGTCGATGGATATCTCTGCTCTCTGCATCAGGAAGGAAGACAATACAGAGAAGAAGAGGGAGACAGAGAGAGAGAGAGAGAGAGAGTCAATAGTTGATTGGATTATCAGCAAGATGTTTACAGAGGCATAAGCCACTGAGTCACAGAGGACAAACATTAGAGAAGAATAATAAAACACAATTACATTCACTCTCCTCTTAATGCAGATCTCTTTAATTATCTAGCTTTTTTTATACACACACAGAGAAAGACCAAGGTTAGGGGGTGTGATGTGGGCAACAAATAATATTAATTTTCAGTATTTGAATATATTAGTAAGCTTTCAAGAATTTTATACAACGTAAAGACATTTCAAATTATATGTCTGTGCAGTACACAATTGTGCCTTAGATTCAACATGCAGTTGAATGCTAATCTTTTAAATAAACAGAATAGTAATTATTGGCAGCGATTTTGCTGTGAAGCAGCTGCAGGCAAGTGACGCACATGGAAGTGTCAACTTAGCTTGTTGCTTGATAACCGTTAAGTCTAAATTGAACATTTTACACCTTCTGCCACATTGTTGTCATTAGGTATGCAGAAAAGGGTGGAACAGACTTGTATGAAGAGTTTCCGCCTTGCTCATAATGATTGGTGCATTATCCTTATTATGTTAACTTTTGATAACAGAGGATTGCACTCAGTGCCAAGAAGTCACCTTATCTACGAAAGGCAAAATGTTTATAGCCATCTGGCCTTCATCTTAGAGGAAAAGACCTCACCACCAAGGCTTGAACAAAGCTCTGCAGTGCTAGGTGATTCAAAGGAACAAGAACAATGGAGCATAACAAAACTCTAAATGACAGCGTACTTAACGCTGAATGACATTTCAATCAACATTGTAATGTGAATGTTATTGCGTATGATGCCATATTTGCCGCCTCTAACCGAGATTTATGACCAACGATGCACTGCATACACAGTGTCAGTTCCCTCGGTGCATTGAGAAGAATTCATTTGTCAACTCTTGACTTTCCTCATGATGACAGAGAAGTGGGGTCAAAAAGAATTAAGAGTGAAACAGAGAACAGAGTGGCATGGTAGAGGAAAATGAAGGAGGAGACAGGTGAGATAACTGTACACAAGCGTGTACAATGAGAGAACTTGAGCGATGGCGACAGTGCAGTTAAGTTTAAATAAAGAGGTGATTTGTTGTAATTAAGAACGTAGAGATGGCCTGGCGGGGTGTCTTTTATAGACAGGAGGTGGTGGGCTGGGCAGGCAGACAAATACCCACACACTAACTATGGCCCCTTCCTATTCACAAACAGACACACACACACACACAGCCTCCTCCGCGCTGCCATCGATTTCTTGCCTTGGCTGAGGACTTACAGCCTGCAGGCACTTCAAAACATGAGGGATAGAGAGACAGAGAGAGAACAGAACAGGCAGTAGTGACGTCTTCAGGGTGGGTCAATGGTAACAAGATCAGCTGGTGAGGATTTAAGGTGGTCTAATTAAGCTGTGGGAGTTTGAGAACAACACATTGCGTACACAATAATCTTGCTTTGCCTACGGGCTAACTGTGCCTTCTTTATCTCATTGTAAGTCACCTTAAAAATGGAAATGTTAGCTGAGGGCTTTTTTAGCTTCAGGTCAGATTTTAGGGTCATCTTAAGGATAACTCTGAATTTAGACTTTACTCTGGAGTGTCAGATGATATAAAATGGCATAATTTCCCTGAATGGGGGACAATATTGAGAAAGATTTTGTATTCCCGCTTTCAAGTTGGTTCTGTTTATCATGTCTCAGAAATGCAATAAATGGAGATATTGATTCAATGTGGCCTGTCACATCACTATGAGTCATAGGCAGTGCTATTTATAACTAAATCATCCTGTTTGTTAGGCAGCCTGTGGTCCTTAGATGGGGAGCAGGAGTATCTCTGAGTTTGGTTTGTTAAAGGAGTTGTTTCAGTCTGACTGTTGTACCTGCAGGGAACTGTTTTGCCTCACAGTGTATTTTTTGCTTCGATGTGAGACATGGAGGTACAGCCGACAACGCCCTATTTCTTCCCCTGTGATTTCTAGCGTTTGGATTTGTGTGTTGTTATCAATTTGGGTGTCTGTGTCGTTGCATCTTTATGTTGTGTTTTCGTGCGTACGTGCCTGTGTGCTGTGTGTGTGCTTGGCTGTGTTTCTCAGTGTGTTTTGGCTGCCTGCTTTGTGTGTTGCTCCTGCTGTGACAGATGGAGCGCAGCCCACGCCCAGATTAACAGACCCACATTAATGAAATCAGGGTTCTGCATGCTGGCTAACTCTCTCTCTCTGTATCTGTTCCTCACTCCCTCTATGTCTTCCTCCTCTGTCTCTCCCTCTATTTCACAGCCCTGTCTCTAAACCAAGGGCACACAGGGATTCAGTGAGAACTGTGCAGAATTGCAACCATCACCTGGAGAGATGGGCAGGGAGAGACAGAAGTGAGGAGGGAAACAGACGGGTTGCAAAGTATGGGATTGAAATGAAACAAGAGAATAAGCAATGGAACATAAGGTGGATAGAAAGGTAGAGAACCGATGGACATAAGCTGTTTGGAAGGGAGTGACAATGAGTAATTGACTGTAGCAAAGTCTGCAAAGGAAAAAGAGGAAGCTATACAAGGCTGCTGTTGCTAGGGGAGAGTGGTTAGACCAGACAGAGAGAGAGAGAGAGGAAGGGAAAGAGAGGGAGAGAGAGCTTGCAGCATTATTCTCCCTCAGCACAAGCACTGTCACCACGACTCAAACCAATGTCCTACTGCCTCACTGGAGGATGTAGTTTCCACGGCAACCATTCATGGCCCTTCATCTTGGCAGGAGGAAGGGGAAGGGGGGAAAAAGAGGGGGCTGTTATATAGATGGGGGTGCAAACATATGGCGCGGGACAAAAGGTGCGGGGGGGGGGGGGGAAGCATACTGGCATCAGGTGAAGGACAAGACAAAGGGACGCACTGACTGAAATGCACATACACGAGCAAAAGCTAAAACAGAGCAGGTGGGAGTGCTAGAGCTAAAGGAAGGAGGGTTATATGTTTGGAAAGTGAGAGTTGAAGGTAAGAGGTGAAAAGAGAAGGAGAGAGCAAAGGAGTAACAGAAGGAGAGTGACCTACATTCACTGGGGCGGTGGCGTACTGCAGAGGTGGATGCAGGTTTACTGTTTTCTGTATCACCCCAGATCACACACATATACACACATTCCTCACAGAGGAACAGCAAAAGACAGATTTCATTAGAGTTAACAGGAATCAACTACAACAGGCACCGTCAAGGCTAAAATAGACTCATGGGTGGAGGCAAAAGGCCAAGTGAGGGGGAGAAAGTGTAGAGAGATGATGGAGAAAAAGGGTGGTCAAGCAGAGACTTTACTGGGGATTGACCATTGAAATTGAGTGTACCTTTCTATAAATACATTTTGAGTGATTTGTCTGAATAGTGGATTAAAAGAAACTTGTTAAAAACGGATTAAAAACAAGTTTGATTCAGTTCAAGTCTAGATATTATAAGTTGGAGCTGCAGTCTTTTAGTTAAGGTGTATTTGATATGAAAAGATTTTTGGCACCATCAGAAAGGCAAGGAAGAATAGTCTAGATGCCATTATGTATTTTTTTACTGTTTCTGAGTCCCTCCACCCAATCTGTTTCCTGTTCTCGACTTCAATTATTTGCTTTCCTTTATTGTCACTCTGTTTTTCGTTCCTATCCTGCGCACTCCGAGTCTTTACATATCTTGCCAGCTCTCTCCCTCTCTTTCTCTCTGGAGAATAAATCAATTTCTACTTCTCGATTTATTTATTTTTGTCATAGTACACATTCTAATTTATACACACACAAATGGAAGTGGATAACATCTCCCACACATACACATACACCTACATTCAGTGCTATTTTTAATTGTTTAAAAAGTCCTGTCACTTGAGATTGCTTGTGTCCACCATCTGCCACATGATCCAGCTGGGAGCAGACAGCAAGGTGCTCAACCTGGCATGAAACCCAAACAGGCACACACACACACACACACACACACACACACACACACACACACAACACACGCACAGTTGTACACTCTAATAAGCATATGTTGAGGCTTAATTCTTCTTAAAAACCAGCAACCAGCCATCATTATTATATTATTACATATATAACAATTTTATTTTTAAATTCCATTTACTGTTAGCAGATTGGAGAATATATGGTAATTTATGCAGGCACGAAAATGTATTCCTCTGTCACCACCCAGGCACATCAGTAAAAACACAGACACATGGATAAGAATTAGGTTTTGAACACAAAGCAGCATCACATTTTATTTTTATCAGAATGGGTCCACACTACACAACACAGAGAAGCAGGTACCACCTTGAAGATGGGTGTGGTTGCAGATGACTTTTTGCAGTCATAATAATCACAGATTTCAGTACCACTGCAGTGTGAAAAAAAAAACAGAATCACACCTTTAGGATCTTTACATCCATTTTTTCCCTCTCCTTCCACCCTGCGTTTTGGTGGTAAGCATCATGTTTCATATCTGCATCCTTCCTGGCCCCTCTTCTTCCCCCTCAGCTCGTTATGTAACGCTGCACTGCGCTCCACTGCGCTTCTGCCCAGCTGGCCGATGGAAGGGCGAGACAAGGGGATGAATAAAGTAGACGTGGCAAAACGGAGCTTGGGTGATTTAAGTGGCTGTGAAAACCTTGGGCGGCACAGGGGAGCGAAGGGACAGTCACACGCAGATATGCTGGGTGGAGGCAATAGTCATCACTATGAAACAAATAAACCCTCCTCGTCTCTAATGTGCCCGGTAGTTATCATTGATGGACAAGCTGTTTAATACCCAATCACAGTGATGTTACCATGAACACTGATTGCTGTGAGTAAGACTTTCATCGATAACTGGGAGAGGCGGGTGTTTGCTGGCTGAGTTTTCGCACAAGATTAGTTGAAAGGTCAGGAGAACAGAGAGAGAGAGAGAGAGAGAGGGTGGCAGGGAAAAGAGAGGGAGGGAGGTTGTGCAAGAGGAATAGAGAGGTTTGCTCTGCAACAGCCATTGACAAATCAGATTGAAGCAATGGCTGTGTGGAGATCAGTGTTGGGTGAGATGAGCCTGTTACCAGTGTGAAGGAAGACATGCAGAGAAGAGACAACGAGCAAATAAAGTGAGAAAAGACAGTATAAGGAGATGTGGATGTTGTTAGGAATGTTTTTTTTTAAATGAACAAATTAATCCCCCCCAAAGCAGCAAAGACTATTATGATATGACCTCTGATATGATATGACCTGCACCAGAATTTAACACAGACTACAGTGTGTCCCATGATTTGTCTTGAAAGACATTGACCCTTTTCAAGAGAGTCACCCTGCCCTGCCTTTCCCTTTTCCATCTGTCTGCTTTCAGCATGACTCATCACTCTCCGGGGTGTTGTTTTGTTTATGAATGTAAGTTTGCACGGGGTTACTGGTGTCTCATCAAGTTCCCACATTGAGTTAGACAGGTAATTTCTTAGAGGCGCTTTCTTAGTGGGCACTTTCAGAGTAAATCATTTCCAGCACTCCAAAATTCTGCATTTTTCATTTACTATTTCTTATGTGTCTGCCTTCCTTTTGGGATTATAGAATTGGGGTCATGTTTCTGCTCGGGGAGTCAGATGAGGACTTATCAACTGGGGGAAGACTCTTGTCTTGTAAATGAATCTGACTCTAGCTGTCTCTGTGTCTACTGTGTGGAGGAAGCAGAGACTGGATGTGGCCTGTCCTGTCCTAATCTTCTCAGTTTCTTTGTCAAATTATTCTCTCCATAGCTCTTGCAGCTGGGTTGTCGCAGTCTGTGAAATTATGACAGCTTTTTGGGGAATAGTAATGTGAAACTCAAATTCAAATGTATGACCCACTTAGTTCTTGCACAATTTTATTCTGACTATTTATATATATGGGGGAATTCAAAATTATGTTGATGTTGAAATGCCAATTCAGACAAGGGATGCAACTAACAATTATTTTCCATATTATTTTCTCAATTATTCTGTTAACAGTTTTGTCCAAAAAATCTAAGAAATAAATGTAATACTGTGGTCTACTTCAACTTGGGCAGTTTCCCTGCAGAAGGAGGAGCTTTACAGTAGTGCATGCCTCTATGACTGATTAGCATTGTGTGCCAAACAGGAGACGTCATGTTCGCAACTCTATGAATCGTTTACTGTGACCAGATCTCACTGAGAGTTGGTAACTGAAAATGGTAAAATATCAAGGGGAAAACAAGGAAAAAGACAAGCAAAACAAAAGCAGGGCTAAGATTGCAGGACTTTATATTTGAAAAAGGGAACTAATCATAAAAACAAATACATAAACAGCATATGAAACTCATGTTCTGTCTCTGTGATATAATGGAGAATTTATGTATTTCAGTCCTTCACTATGACCACTTTAACCGATTTCTCTTGTGTCACCCAGGTTGTGTAATTGGATAAAATTCAGCTTACACCTGACAGCACATTTATAGTTTAGTCAGAATTACTTTTCATTGTCTATATCAATCTATATTTAGCATGACAATACATTTAAGATATGCAGTATGAAGAAATCTGAAACCAAACATAGATTGTATATTTTTAGGCTGGCTGAGTATAGTGTGGTAAGATGAGAATGGAAGCTGATATTCTCTGCTCTGGGTACTGCATGAGGTCACAGCTTCTTCTTCCAGACACTGTTCCTTCTGGTTGGATGGAGGCCTGCTCAGCTAATCTCCCCTTTGGAAAGAACTCAGAAAAGGAATCAGAGAAATAAAAGGAAGATGTGAGGCAAGTCGGTCATGGCTGTGAGGAAAGAGCCCAAGTGATGGGGTCTTTTTCTGGTAGGCTGTGCTTAGATTAGTTGTATACTGCACATAGACATTAATATAATGACACACACTCACACAGTGACATAAGAGTGTGATCATACCTTGATGTGTGGTCAGGCTGATTGTCAAATTCCATTCTAAATACAGTTACACCTGCCAATCACTGAATAATAACCATGTAATTTATTTCTGAGGACAAGACATTTCTGTCCACTTGCAGAACAGTAAAGCAGAACAAAAACAGTCCAATTTTCCTCTAAAATACCACAGCGCTACCTTTGTCAGCCTTTAACATACTAATAAAGGGTTTAGTGTTTCATCAGTGCCACAGATGTTAGCTTTGGCCAGGAGGGAGCCTTTGATTCATTGCCCACTTAGCAGTCTCTTGAAAGCCTCCCATTAAGTTCCACCACCTCCCATCTTTTACAGCATGCCATGGTGGTTGCTCATGTAATGCCACTCATTATTGCGTGATTAGATGTTTATAGTGACTGCTGTGGATATCAGTGAAATCAAAGTTTTAACACAATAGTCCTGATTTATGTATATAAAAGTGCAGGTCAGGTTTGCACTGTGCCTTTTATTTAAGTTGTAGCGACTAATTGTATGGTCAGCCACTGAGACTGCCTCTTTAGGCCCTTTCTGTGAGTTCAAAGGGTTCAGTTAACCAGGGAGAGAGGGGGATTTCAAAATGCAGTGATAGTAGAAATACTTGTTAATTACATAACAACAGGTTGCAGTTTATCTCTGATTGAGAAAATTTAAGAACATGTATTACTGATTTTATTAAATAATGTTAATGATAAATAAAGATCATGAATTACATTTACTTATAGAAGGTTTGTGTAGCTAATGCAGTAAGAGTCATTAAATATACATCTCATGAAATCAAAAAGAGATGGAAGGACATGCAATGATGCAGAGAATGTCTAACATGTTTGCTTTGGAGCAGTAGCAGCTAAACTTTAAATTTAGCTACCCTGTAGTCTACAGAAGTCTGGGCTAAATTAGTTTAGGAAAAGACATGTTTTTGAAAGAATGTGAGATTACTATAATAAATAAATACAATATCCCAACATTGTATTAAATAGAGGTTGGGTGCTCATTAGACGTTGCTCAAATTTGCACCGACTCTTTAGAGATGTAAACTGGGCGAACACTTGTAAATCTAGCAGAATGCGTTCTGTCAACCTCCCTTATGACATCTCCTCCAGTTATTTGTTCAATCTTCACTCATATTTGCATGCAGGAAGCAACCTGTTCCTCAGATGCAGGCAAATTGTGCTTCCAAGCTGGAAGAATTGTGCTTTTGACTACAGATTGTGTGGAATATAATGCTGGGAAATTGTATGCAAATAGATAGCAAATAATAGCCCAACATCCATCTCTCTATGTTTCTTTCAGATGCTGAAGGGGGAGAGGTGTCCCCTCCAATGGGTGCTGGTGTAGATAGCAACAGCTGGCACTTTCGCTATGGCCCCGGCGGTCCTGGCGCCCCCCCCCAGCACCTGAAACCTGGCGAGGTTCCCCCAGAAGCCTTCATCATCCCCGGCTCCCCCGCCATAATATCCATCAGACAGAACCAGGGAGGAGAGGACGACAAGAGCGATTTCATCACCTTTGGAAAGAAAGAGGAGGCCAAGAAGAAAAAGAAGAAGAAGAAGGAGAAGAAAGACAAGAAGGATAAGGGCAAGGATGATGGAGATGAGTAGCGGAGCAGAAAGAGAAAATAGCGAAGAAGAAAAGGGTGTTGTTAAAACAGAGGTACCAACTAAAGTCCACTGGGCAAAAAGAAAATGTGAAAACTATTTAGACTACTTAGATTTTCCAAGTTCATTTTGTTATCTATTTTCACTGATAACATTTTAAAGCTCTTTCTGTTATGAACTTGGCCTTACCAAGATTTATTTTACCTTCAGCCCCTCACTGAGGTAAATTATTGATCTTGCCTTGATAAACAATAAAACGATTGATTTTGCTCCACGCCCCTATGTGCCTATACACCCAGAGTCAACTCATGTCAGTCATTTCTTCCAATTAAGAAGGACCACTCTTTGCCCTCGTCTTGAATTGTTCCACCTTTAACCCACTGGGCACGTTGGCACCTCTGTCTTACCCCCTCCCCAACTATGATGTGTAAACCATTCTCTCTGAGAGAAGACAAATACTTTGTACAAGAACAACAAAAAGCTCTGTGCCAGCCAAGGAAAAGAAGAAAGACAAAGAAGATTGAGACAGATGCATGCCATCTGGAGCTGGACACACACTACTTGTAAATAGCACAGGAGAGAGTCACTGAAACTAAGGCGAACAAGACACTGCTGCAGATTCCTCTGATAATTACCAACAGTGTTTCCTGAGATCTCAATGAAACCACATGCACACACACGCATGCTCACATATTCAAACATGCCAACACATACACACACTTATCATGACAAAGTAGACACGGAAAGCACTTGAGGGAGAGAAATAAAAAAAGGAGAACATCAAATTTCAAAGAAATGTGCTTAAAACTAGACACTGCAAACTTTCTGCCCTGCACAGTTGCTTTTGCGGTGCGCATGTGTCCATCAACTCTCTCAGGATGGAAGCAGCATCCTTTGCAATCACGCTGTATTTGCTCACTGCATTTGAAAGACACGTAGAGCTTCATCTCCAGTCAGAGCCGCAACGAAGAATGCAGAGAGCATCGGAAAGATGAAGAGATGGAAGGATACCTCAAATTCTCCTGAGGATCACAGAGGGAGAGGCCAGCTGAGCTGGCTTGTGACTCTGCTTTCAGTCAGTGGACTCTAATGAAACCGTAAAGAATATTAGGAGAGTCTCGAGGTTTTGATAACACCTTCTCTTCTCCCCCTGCTGCAGCAAAAGCCTAATGCTTTCTGCTTTGAATGTTTGGTAGCAACCAATCCTTACCTGATACCTTGAGTTTACAACTGCTCATCTGCTTGTACTTGCCCTAAGCTGCAACGAGCCACATTCTCCTCCCCCAACTGCCTTTTTCTCCACGGTCACGCATCCCACTGACTGCCTCTTCATGTGATGATGAAGTTTGTGAACTTGTTCTGTTTTCATTTATTCTCTAAAGAGATTCACTATTACATACTCTGGCTTTTTTTCTTTTCTTCCTCATAGCTTTAACTGCTTTTTGCATGTCATGCCCACTTCCATCTACCCTCAAGACACTGCACCTAACCCCCACTCTGACCCCTGCTCAGGATCGATCCTGGGAATGGCCTGCTCTGAACATTGTGGTGTGCTGAGAACAGCATGGAGTAATGTGGATGAGGCCTGGGGAATCCCAGTCGTGGGTCTACGCCCTGAACTCTTGTCAGATGTCTCTCTAAGTGCACAACGGTTCAGTGCTTTTAACTTGCGAGTACTACAGCACGCTGTTCATTTCCTGTTTGTAGCCACTGAAGGAGACAGGTGCCGTGGGCTGACCCTCCCCCTACATGTACAAGAGAAGAAAGCTGTTCTCCAAATTGATTGTTTAGGATCGTTGAGTCACATACTAGCTTTTATGTACGCTGTAAATGTAGCGTAGACTTTTCATAGATTGTCTCTATATAAGTCATTGAAGCCTGCTAGAAATACGGGCATCTATGGATTTGCATCCCACAGCTATATCCCACCAATCCTCTCTCAGGAGGTTTTGAAAAAGGGGCACACACATGCCTCAAGACCTGCTTCTGTTGGTTCCCCTCCCCTGCCTGTAACTTGTTGCCACGTCCCCAAAGTTTTGCGGCTCAGTATGACGTCACTCCATTAAGTGGCTGCTGCATGTACTGCTCTAAGGAAACACATAATATAGAGAGAAATATATATAAATAGATAGATGGCTATGATTTTATTCTTTTGTATTATCATTTTTCTTCATTACTCGCACAGGAGATATTTGTATGTACTTCTGTCTGCCAAACATCTATGTATTACAATCTTCACGCTCCACAGATGTTGTATGGCATCCACTAAACCTCTTTAGATATTTGTAAATGCTATAGTGTAATACCTTTCAACAAAGTTTATTCTTTTTCTTTTTCCAACTATGAGTTTTGTTTTTGAGAACAAGCAAAGCAAGAAAAAAAAAGAAAAAAAAACACTCTCTGTCCGGCTTTGACATGACGATCTAACTAACACTTGTAATATTGTAACTGAAATATGTATGATCCTATGATGAGCTATCACTTCCCTTTCACTCTAAAAAAAAAGAAAATGACTTAAAAAAAATATTCCAGTGTAAAAATACCTATATGTAGTGTATGCTTGTGTTTAGTGAGCGTTCATGCTGTCATTCTTTCCCAATGTATGGTGGTGAACTATGGTGGCAATGTGCTGTCCTAAATGGACTAGCCCAGATCTGTTGTATAACCTCCTTTTTTTTGTACAACCGCTCATCAACTGTGACAGTGAAGTAGTGAATTTCATTTATTTTCTGACTTGTTTTATTTTACCTAAATGGATACAGTGGTAATGTGTTTTGTTTATAAATCACTAATAAAGTTTTCTTTCTTAAAAAAATAAATGTGAATTTATTGTCTTGTGGGCAATTGTGTGTGTGTGTGTGTGTGTGTGTTGACCTTTTTCTTTCTGTCATTTGAATACATAATTACCACTGTCAACATATGACGACTGTAAAAATAGGATTGATTTTAGATAATAGCTTTGTTTAGGTTTTTAAGAGTACATTTTGTTTGTATTTTTAAATACTGTGTAATGAATAAGTCTACTTTAATTAAAACATAACCTCATGCAATGAAAGCCTTAATTAGACATCAGTGCCAGAATTGTACTTATTTTACAGAGGATGCTTTTATCTCGGGAGAGTTAAAAAAGGGTCAATGCAATGTTCTAGAAGAGTGGGAAAAAATGTATAATTTAAGAGGGAGAAAGAGTGCCTCTCTTCACATCATAGAGGGCAGGAGTGACAAACTATCTACCGGCTGCTCTCCTCTATCGCACATGCTCACATCCTGCTTCGTCCTCTGCACTGACAAGCACTCAAATGAGAGACACAGGCAGAATGACCTGCCCAGTACTGACGCCTGATTTCTCCTCATTGAAAGCCATGATCACAGATGGTCCAAGCAGTCCCTTGTGAAAGGAAGCTTACAGAGGCAATATAATTTAATAGAGTGGCTAAGTAGATCTATTGTATTCCAGTGGGGAGTTTCTAGAAAAAAGACCACAATGGAGAGACATCAGTCATGCTGGCCTAGATAAAATGCAGCATTGATTATCAATACTTTTATCTAGTCATCTACTCAGGCAGCCAGTTCAATCATTTCCTAAAGAGCTCTAGGAGCTAGAATTCATTGATTTGTTTGTTTGAATAAACAGCATTTTGGACTTATTCGAGGCCGATTGTTTTAAATGTGATTGTGCATTCTTGTCTTTTTATACTGATGCTGCTCTTGAAATATATAGAGTTAATAAAGTCTCCCTCTCTCCAGTCTTTGCTTTCATCTTGCATCCAGGAAAAGAGATAGCGATGAAAGAGGTGAAGAGTTCACGTTTAAAAAATTGCTTGCATAAATTCTGCATCTTATTCTTTATTTCATTCTCCCCAGGAGACAGATAAAAATGGTTTCTATGGTTACAGCTATTTGGGGAATGGTCTCTATGGCAACAGCCTTAGACACTTATCAAATGCAGGAGGGTCAAAGTAGTGGGGTGCCCAGGATGGAGTCATAGTGTGTGTGAGGGTGGGTCCTTTCAAATGCCACAGACAGACTGATTTGATGATGCAATACCACATCCAGTGTCTTTGACTCCTCGCTGACATTTCACTGTTCAGAACAGCACATCCATGGAAGAACATCGCTTTACAAAAACCACTAACACCCACACGCTTTTAAATGCCTACAGTTACATATTCCCATGAGCATTCACAAAATGTGCACTGGTCTTTCTGAAATGTGGCTCATTTGAATTAAACAAACAAATTAACCAACAAGCAAAGCAGTTCAGTGTGCAGAAAAGTAGCCTGCAGTGTTTGGTCTGCAGAGCAGTGAATCTCTGGCTAATGAATATGGATATATATTATGGAAGAGTGAACAGAGCCATGCAAGCAGAGCAGTTGGCCACTCTGCTCTTTACAAGCAGTTTAGTCCACGGAGATGAATGTAAACTAATTTAAACACAACATAAACATAGACTACACTATAGTGCAGTGCACAAGTCTACCTTCATTTATTCAATGTAGGTTGAACTAATCAAGAGATGGAGGCCAAATAGTGAAATATAAACAACTAAAATGGTCTAATAATGTGACAGGGGTCTTTAAATACATGATAAAACAGATTATGATTATGCCACATTACTGGGACTATGTGTTTGTCTTAGAGGGTGTGTTGGCTGGTGATGTTGCCAGCTGCTGTGACTCAGCAGAACCATCATCCTGCTGAGGAAGGCAAATGGAATGACTTGGATGAAGCATGCCATACTGGCTGGAGATGATGGAAAAATTAATGTGCACAATAATTTTGGCCTGCGGCAATAAAAGCTATTTTACACTGTAGAGACGCAGTGTGAGAAAGTGGAAATGAGTTAATGAAACAGGGACCGACAGTAGGTACATTTGTTTCAGCCTGTCATGATTGATGAAAATTATTTTAATTTGCTTATAGTCTAAATATAAATGAACAAAAGAATTATGAAAGTGCAAATTTGTGCTTGATATTTGGTGTTTTATGGAGTTTGCATTTAATTAAAGCAAATTAAAATAAAAAATGGTCTGCAGTTGCTTGTGATTTCCCAACAGTTATAGCTAACTCCTATAGTGGATGTTCAAAATGCCAAAATATATCAGGGAAAATAGATTTAAAGTTAGGGATGAAAATGATTAAAACACTTTTGTTAAGTTACAAGTTACATTTAATAAAAGTAAATCTACTACATTGATCAGATCTACCCAGGAGACTGATGCTTTGTCATAAATGTTTTATCTAATTTAGCTTTTTTTGTTGTTCTTTGTTTAATATCCTTGAGCTTGTGTTGGTGTAGGCTAAAACGCCATAATACAAAGTTCTATTATTTAATCTTCCATGTTAATAGGCTGCGACTTTGAAGGAGGAGTGAAATTAATTAAAATCTACACATGAATTACAGCACTAACACATGCCTTGCTGGTTTATGCAGGCTGCCACTACAAACTGTAGCCTTTTGCAGTAGTAGCTGGAAATCCAAAATAGGCTAGATGTGCCTAAACAATAACTGGTCTCCGCGGTATTAAATCACTGCCTGCAGAAACCCAAGCCACAAAAATATTGCTGTCACAATGCAGAGGTCACTTGATGGGATAATATGGCAGAGGCTGTGGGTTGTGTTTGAGTGTAAGTGTTGGACTTCATGTACCATGATGCAGCGCGTGCAGGATTTACCTCGTTGGTTGCTGCCTGAGACACTCCAATCTATCATTTTCAATTAGTTAAATCTAACAAGTACATGGGCATAGATGTTAGTGAGTTTGCAATGTCAAAGATCTCTGAAACACTGAAGTTCGTGTTATAAAACCATACTGTTTGAAAACACTACATGATGGCAACACATTGCCTTTTCCATTCATGCATTTCCTTTCTGCCGTAGTTGTTCTATCTGCAGAAGTTTTAAGCATAAGGCGCCATCTCCTGGTCAAAGTAACACAGCACATTTTGCCTAAACAGGCAGAACAGCTGTTTTTTTAAAGAGAAATTGTCATATCCTATAAATTGGTGTAATTGGATTTTCAATATACTGTATTTTTATTATTTGATGGGTTTTTTTCCAAAATGTCACGAAATTATAATGTTGAGTAGCTGTCATTATTTCTTGTGACTGCTTTCAAATGAATTTCTAAAGAAATTACCTTTCATTGATGTTTAAATTTGAAAATGTATGAGCATTTAGAGTTACTTTCACAAATGAAAGATTGACAAATGAAAAATTCCTTGATTCCTTGAAGATTGTTGTTTTCCCCTGGATTATTCCTGTTAGTAAATATACTGAATACATTCATACAATAATTCAACAAATATGGGATAAAAATAAGCCCATGGTTTGTAATAATGCATGGTTATTGTAAACATCAACAGCATTTTCACAAAATAAAAACATTGACTTTTTAAAAAATATTATTACTACTGTAATTCAGTGCAATTTAGTTTGCATATGTTCAAACTGGACTGTCAGGCCTGAGGTCACATCCAGTCACTGGAATAGGTTAATTAAGGGCCAGAAAAGAACAAGATAGCAAATTCTCAACAAGGACATTATTTACTATACAGTATGTGCCACTGTCAATATCATAAAAACTTAAGTTATATCTATTGTAATTATCTTGAATAACAGATGATAAACTGAATCTTTGAGCCTAACAGTGCAAACAGTAGCATGCTGATGAATGAAATTCCGGTGATCAAGAACTCAAGAATGTCCAAGATGGGTTAAAATCAAGGAAAAATGAACTTGAAGATAATTCACGGTGTTTTGCCTCTATGCCAAGAGACTTCTTCAGTAAACTCATGAGTCTTGACCTGTGGAGTAGGCTCTTCTGTGCTGAGCCACGCATTTGTATAGCGGTTGTTTAGTTTCCCCGATATGCACACCTGTGCATTCACTCAGTGCAGTGGACAGCATACATTAGATTGCTTTTCTTGTGTTTGGGTGCAATCTTTTGGGTGGCCCAGTATCTGTTTTATCATGTTTCTGGGTTTAAAAAACAAAGGGATGTGGTGTTTGTTGAAAATCCTCTTTCAATGTTTCACTGATCCACACTGTAAAAAAAGTTTTTTCACAGAAATATACTGTATTATTTTACAGATTTTTTCTTCATATAAATACCATGAAAATACAGAAAAATACTTTTATTAACAACATTAACCATAAAATAAAAGTTATAATCTGTATATTCATATAATAAGAAATTATAGTTTTTTTACAGGATTATTCCATTGCTTAATTGCCCTGAATGTAAAATTACATTGAATTCTATGTAAAAAGACAAAGAAATTCACATATTTAAAATTAAGACAACTTTCTGTTTTTTACTGTGAAACTTTAAATTTAAGGTAAATAAATGTCCAAAAAAACTATCGTAAAATAACAGTAAAAAGTCTGGCAGCAATAGTTGCCAAACACTTACCATAAAATTACAGTAAAGAACCTTAAATTATTCTACGGAATAATTCTGATTTTAAATACAGATATTTACAGTAAATATTGTCTGTATTTTTACAGTCCAACTGCTGTAAAATGAAAAGAAAATCTAATTTAAAAAATGTCTGTAAAATGTTAAACAAATGTATAAATCTGCATATAAACTGAAAAATATTGCAGAAATACCTTAAAATTACACAATTAAAAAGTGTCTGCTTTTTTTACACAGTATTCTTTGGTAAATTCATATGATTATCTATTCCATCCACATGAACTCCTTGTCAAAGTACAGATTTTTAGATTTAAAACACAAAAAAATTAATAAAAAATTCCTTAAAATACCATGCTTTAAAACTCATTAACAGTATCTTGAAAGCTTTAGGCTTTTATTTATGGGATTATCCAATCTATTAATAGTAACTTCCTGTTAAATTTAGTTTTTAAACTGTGGAATAACAAAGATCACGTGATAATAGCTTGCAAAACCATATTTTATAGAGATTACTTTAAATAAACAATATTTGACAGTAATTACAAGCAACTATCCAATATATCTACGAACTTTTCCCATTAATGTATGGAGTTTACTTTGAATAAACATACTTTTATAGTGATTAAAAAGCACTATTCAATATATCTACAGACTTTTATCATTAATGTATGGGGTTTACTTTCATAGGCCATTTGAGGCTAAAAAGACCTATTCTCTTTAGGTCTTGATGCACAGCTAACTGGTGTTTGGGCTATATATCAAAATCAAATGGTCATAAAAGGTGTATTTGTTGTCCCATCTTGGTTCACTCAAAACACTGAAGCTTTGATTTTAACTATATTTATTTTTTCAACAGATTCCACAAAATTGTTTTAGGTTAGTTAAAAGCAAAAAAATGTAATGAACTTGTATAAGAGTAACACAATGAATGTCAATTGATCCAACTAAAAATAAAAAACTTCTGATCAACAATATATTTAAGCTTACCTTTCAATATTTTATTTGGAGTAGTAACAATATACATTTATATTCAATTAATTAAAACATTAGGTTTTCATTCAATATTTTTTTCCAAATTAGATTGACACAAATCAAATGTTTGTCAACTGGTCCCACACAAATTTATTTCAACTGAATTTCGTTATGGACTTTATTCACCAACACATCAATATCATTTTGGTGCAATTGGTGAAAAAAAAATAATACCGTAAAATTATTAGCACTATAAAGTGTTGAAAAGTTTGCAAAATAATGTTTAGTTGTCAACAATTTTGATGATGCATTGCTTAGAATTCTGCCTATTCCGCAGAACACAGCGTCCAAATCAATGGATGGCTCATTCATAGAGTTTGTTCTTGAGCATCTGTACCTTGGTTGAGAGTTTGCTTGCATCTAGTTGAAAGAATCACTTGTGAAGTACCTCAAAGAAGGCTTAAAGGTTCTAAGGATAACTGAGGTTCAGTGCATAATTACACCTATTAAGAGTGCACGTGTAGAGGCGATGTCTCCCAAGTCATGCAGAACTTCAGCACCCTCGGTGACTATCCCAACATCAGCTGGAGGAGTGGTAGCATCACCTCCCTCAACACGGATGCTGTAAAGATAACTTGTCCAAGCTCCCTCGGAACGGCTATAGCATCAGATCCTTTACATAGGACAGAAAGAAAGTAGAAAAACAAATTATGAAATCACAAACAGATTTTGCAGAATTCTAAAGAGTAATGTTTGCATTTCAGGTGTCCTTTATGTAATGATTTAACAAAAATAGCATGATACAGTGCTATGTGTTTAAAAATTACAAGATGAAGTAGTGCTGGTGAATTAAATATTAGATACAATTGTGTATTATTTAATATACCTCACCAAGCACTTTATTTGGAGGGCGTGCAGTCTACTGCAAACCAACAGCTCTACCATAAATCTTTACTTTTACTAAGCTTAGATATTTAACAAGTGTTTCTATTATTTATTTTGCCCCCCTCATCTATGTCAATGGGGTAGACAATATTAGGAAAACTTTTCAATATAATGCACTATACAGGCAGTTGTCATTTTTGATTGCATTAGACAGCAGATATTCCTGATAAAATGCATTGAGTGTATATATTAGATTTCCCAAAAGAGACAAAAAACAAACAGATTTTCTGCAAATCGTAAGAAATGCACACCTGTGCATTCACTCAGTGCAGTGGACAGCATACATTAGATTGCTTTTCTTGTGTTTGGGTGCAATCTTTTGGGTGGCCCAGTATCTGTTTTATCATGTTTCTGGGTTTAAAAAACAAAGGGATGTGGTGTTTGTTGAAAATCCTCTTTCAATGTTTCACTGATCCACACTGTAAAAAAAGTTTTTTCACAGAAATATACTGTATTATTTTACAGATTTTTTCTTCATATAAATACCATGAAAATACAGAAAAATACTTTTATTAACAACATTAACCATAAAATAAAAGTTATAATCTGTATATTCATATAATAAGAAATTATAGTTTTTTTACAGGATTATTCCATTGCTTAATTGCCCTGAATGTAAAATTACATTGAATTCTATGTAAAAAGACAAAGAAATTCACATATTTAAAATTAAGACAACTTTCTGTTTTTTACTGTGAAACTTTAAATTTAAGGTAAATAAATGTCCAAAAAAACTATCGTAAAATAACAGTAAAAAGTCTGGCAGCAATAGTTGCCAAACACTTACCATAAAATTACAGTAAAGAACCTTAAATTATTCTACGGAATAATTCTGATTTTAAATACAGATATTTACAGTAAATATTGTCTGTATTTTTACAGTCCAACTGCTGTAAAATGAAAAGAAAATCTAATTTAAAAAATGTCTGTAAAATGTTAAACAAATGTATAAATCTGCATATAAACTGAAAAATATTGCAGAAATACCTTAAAATTACACAATTAAAAAGTGTCTGCTTTTTTACACAGTATTCTTTGGTAAATTCATATGATTATCTATTCCATCCACATGAACTCCTTGTCAAAGTACAGATTTTTAGATTTAAAACACAAAAAATTAATAAAAAATTCCTTAAAATACCATGCTTTAAAACTCATTAACAGTATCTTGAAAGCTTTAGGCTTTTATTTTATGGGATTATCCAATCTATTAATAGTAACTTCCTGTTAAATTTAGTTTTTAAACTGTGGAATAACAAAGATCACGTGATAATAGCTTGCAAAACCATATTTTTATAGAGATTACTTTAAATAAACAATATTTGACAGTAATTACAAGCAACTATCCAATATATCTACGAACTTTTCCCATTAATGTATGGAGTTTACTTTGAATAAACATACTTTTATAGTGATTAAAAAGCACTATTCAATATATCTACAGACTTTTATCATTAATGTATGGGGTTTACTTTCATAGGCCATTTGAGGCTAAAAAGACCTATTCTCTTTAGGTCTTGATGCACAGCTAACTGGTGTTTGGGCTATATATCAAAATCAAATGGTCATAAAAGGTGTATTTGTTGTCCCATCTTGGTTCACTCAAAACACTGAAGCTTTGATTTTAACTATATTTATTTTTTCAACAGATTCCACAAAATTGTTTTAGGTTAGTTAAAAGCAAAAAAATGTAATGAACTTGTATAAGAGTAACACAATGAATGTCAATTGATCCAACTAAAAATAAAAAACTTCTGATCAACAATATATTTAAGCTTACCTTTCAATATTTTATTTGGAGTAGTAACAATATACATTTATATTCAATTAATTAAAACATTAGGTTTTCATTCAATATTTTTTTTCCAAATTAGATTGACACAAATCAAATGTTTGTCAACTGGTCCCACACAAATTTATTTCAACTGAATTTCGTTATGGACTTTATTCACCAACACATCAATATCATTTTGGTGCAATTGGTGAAAAAAAATAATACCGTAAAATTATTAGCACTATAAAGTGTTGAAAAGTTTGCAAAATAATGTTTAGTTGTCAACAATTTTGATGATGCATTGCTTAGAATTCTGCCTATTCCGCAGAACACAGCGTCCAAATCAATGGATGGCTCATTCATAGAGTTTGTTCTTGAGCATCTGTACCTTGGTTGAGAGTTTGCTTGCATCTAGTTGAAAGAATCACTTGTGAAGTACCTCAAAGAAGGCTTAAAGGTTCTAAGGATAACTGAGGTTCAGTGCATAATTACACCTATTAAGAGTGCACGTGTAGAGGCGATGTCTCCCAAGTCATGCAGAACTTCAGCACCCTCGGTGACTATCCCAACATCAGCTGGAGGAGTGGTAGCATCACCTCCCTCAACACGGATGCTGTAAAGATAACTTGTCCAAGCTCCCTCGGAACGGCTATAGCATCAGATCCTTTACATAGGACAGAAAGAAAGTAGAAAAACAAATTATGAAATCACAAACAGATTTTGCAGAATTCTAAAGAGTAATGTTTGCATTTCAGGTGTCCTTTATGTAATGATTTAACAAAAATAGCATGATACAGTGCTATGTGTTTAAAAATTACAAGATGAAGTAGTGCTGGTGAATTAAATATTAGATACAATTGTGTATTATTTAATATACCTCACCAAGCACTTTATTTGGAGGGCGTGCAGTCTACTGCAAACCAACAGCTCTACCATAAATCTTTACTTTTACTAAGCTTAGATATTTAACAAGTGTTTCTATTATTTTGCCCCCCTCATCTATGTCAATGGGGTAGACAATATTAGGAAAACTTTTCAATATAATGCACTATACAGGCAGTTGTCATTTTTGATTGCATTAGACAGCAGATATTCCTGATAAAATGCATTGAGTGTATATATTAGATTTCCCAAAAGAGACAAAAAACAAACAGATTTTCTGCAAATCGTAAGAAAGTAACAAGGTTACAGTTGTGGTCAAAAGTTTACACACACTTCTAAAGAACATACACGTCATGGCTGTTTGGGTTTCCAATAATAACTACAACTCAAATTTTTCTGTGATTAATCTTTGTCACAAAAACATGTCATGAATTTTGGTACTTTTATGAATTTATTATGGGTCTTCTGAAGATGTGACCAAATCTACTGGGTTAAAAATATACATACAGCAATGTTAATATTTGTTTAAAAGTCCCATTGTCATTTTTACCTCAATTAGACACTTTTGGTAGCCATCCACAAGCTTCTGGTTCAATCATTGACCACTCCTCTTGATAGATTTGGAGCAGTTGAGTTAAATTTAACAAACAGATTTCTTTCTTTAAAATAGTTCACGTTCTCGATTGGGTTTAAGTCAGGTATGGTTGTGTACTGTTTAAAATTTTATGATACAAGTACCAAAAACACTTCTTACAACACTAAGAAGTACAAAACAAGTAAGCAGTAAGGGTGTGTATCTTCACTGGCCTCACGATTAAATTCAATTACGATTATCAGATCAACAATTTGGTTCGAATCTTGATGCGTCACCTCAAGGGTGGGAATTTCTAGTCACCTCATTACGATTATGAGGCTACGATGCGACTGTAAGACAAAACTATTTGTAACAAATCAAACAAATAGGTAGTATTGAAAATGCAGATATTTAATTTTACTTCATATAAATGCAGCTAACATTGCATAGCATTATTACAGCGTTATTACTGACCTCTTTTGCTGATATTTTTATTTTTGATGCTGCTGTTATTAGTATAGAGTCAGATTTGGTTTAACTATGCACTTTACAATGCAATCTAAATAGCAATTGTAAGTCGCTTTGGATAAAAGCGTCAGCTAAATGAATAAATGTAATGTCTCGTCTAGTGTAGTTACATGTTTGTTTCTTGTCTTGTAAGTTGTTTATGGTAATCTTGTATTGAGCACCATGGGCCTTGAGAAACGGCATTGGGTTCATTGTGTACTCGATATGTGGATGAATGACAACAAACAAATTTGAACTTGCAGCCAAAAAACGTCCTGCTCAGCTTCCAGACCGCAGTCTGAAGAGGAGACGTTACCTATCGCTAACTGCCTTCACTTTTCCAGCAGTTGGAGAACAGACAGACTTTAATTAACGGACAAACTGTAACCTACACTGTACATTTACAGCCAGACTAAAATGTAGCACTCATATTTTCCTCTGCTCTGCTCATTTTCACCGTCACCTACTGCCACCTGTCACGTAGCTGTCCTGTGAAGGAGGAGAGGTCGCTAGCTATCTGGTGATTCTGCGGAGGCAGCCATCGGCCCCGTGTTCACGACCAGCTAGAAGCCGGTGTGGTGAGGAGCGTCGATCTCCACATATGCCTCACCAGCGCGGTGGGAGCTGTAGAGATTCTGTATTGTGTTGCATATTTTCCACTGAATATCTTAATTAATTTAATTTACATAACAAACGCCATATCGTCTCTAATGTGAGACGAGATCGCCTTCAGTTGTTAAAACACCTTTTTTGTTACTAACTTAGAATAATTACATTAACTTGGGTCATCCTTTGTTTTTCCACCCGGTTTATTTATCTCTTTGTTAGTCCCCCACTCCTAGACAAGCTGGGGACGTAACAAGCTGTCTGTTTTTTGTTTCTTTATTTCAGGCAAAATCACAATTCATTTTCATGTATTTCATGGCAGATGGTTTTAACTGCCATGAAATACATGTTGTTTACAAGTGTATGTAAACTTTTGACCACAACTGTAGCCGTTTGGTTTAATGCAGGTAGTAACTACTGAAATTACCGACCGGGTTTTCTTTGAAGAGGATGTTTGGGTCTTCATCAGGTAGAAACCAATTGCCCTGAGGATGATCTCCCTCCTCTTTTCAACAGTTGCTAGAGAGACAAAAACAATACAGAAATACTTTAGGACTGCACATACACACATACTACACATTCTCACATGTCCAGTGATGTTAATGGTATGTGTCCTACATCTTTGGTTTCTTAAACTCTGAAAGGACACAATAAACTTGCTATGAACATGTCCAGGGAGGTACACCCTCCCCCATTACTACATTGTGAACAAATCTGTGTTGAAATCATAATAAACAAAAGAAACCTTGCTGTCAAATAAATTATGTTATTATCACGGTGAAGCCTCTGCCCTGCTATCTGTGTCAGGGCTGAGCGTCTCCACATAGACGCAAACACAGAGCCAACTTAATGGCCAGCAGAGAGGCCCGCAGGTAAAAACCTTAGTGAGTAAAAAGCCAGTATGTCATCAATACACCTGTTTAACAAGCGAATTGTATTTTGAGAAGCAAAGTTTCTGTTGCTCATTCCAAATGTCAATATATCCGATCCCTAAACATAGCTCTGGTCACTGATGTGTGTTTAAATAGTGAGGCAACTGCAAACAATAAAAAATATTTGTTTGAAAGTGGCACAAGTGTTGCTGTTTAGGCTTTGTGAGCAACAATCAAATCCCAAGTGAATACTCATCAGGGTATACACAGATGTTTTGGGTTTCTGACTGTTTACTACTCTCTATACATGTCAGAAGAGATGAGTCAACATCAACTTACTATTCTATAATGTTTTCTACCAATTGCAAAACATACCTTTGGGCCAAAAGTATGCGAAGTTCCCTTCCTGCAGAGCCTCCTTTCTTCTTCAACACACTGAGGAGATTGGAAGTGCGTTTGTCAACGAACTTTGAGACAGTGGAACAGTAGAAATCCTCGGAATTTCCACCTAGAAACATATTCCACAAGCACAACATATTATTGGTAGTTGAAGAGCAGCGTTATGCGCTCTCCTTTACCTGGGAAAGGGAAGAGGATGAAATAAAGTTTTGGAAATTCAGACAGAAAAAGAGGCACACTTTCGTAATTTTGTAGCAATACACTGACCTAAACGCCATGTCTACTCTGTGATGCCCTTCCCCCCCCCCCCATTTATAATAACAGATAGCTTGCACAGTTTTAGGCTAATAGTGACTCACTGAAGCTCATAAACACTTCAAACCATTGGCTGAATACAAGTCCAAAATATCTGTTTGTTAACAATTAAAATTAACGTTACCTGTTTTTAATCATGCAAAAACGTATCTTTTGCATTTATTATGACCAGTAAAATAAGCCTGATATCTGAAAGTATAGACAGGAACACAAGAGTAAAACTAATCTCTCCAAACCAAAGACACTGTGTTTCAAAAGCAGCCTATGAAGAGCTAAAGCTTAAGAGCTTAAACACAGACATGTAAAAACAGCTTTCTCTATGGACACCACAGCACAGGCTGAGGTGTTGAAGCGCCTGTAAACAGTGTTGATATCGACAGCAGAGGGTTCAAGTGTTCACGGATTGGCAGGCTCGGCGGGATAAAAACCGATCAACCTGGGTCATGCAGCAATGTTAGCTAGCTAACACATGTCCAAGAACCACCTCCCTGGGCTAGTTAACCTAACTGTTAACATTATACACCCGAAAAATGCAGGACGCCTTCTATCACAAACACAAAATACAATCATGCTTAATATGAAAATTATACAAAAAACAGTTACGGGTAAAAAGAACAGGTCCTTACCTCTTACAACTTCCAAAAACGAAGACCACCAGCAACTTGTCCGCCAAAATTAACTCAGAAGAAACAGTCAAGTGACATCGCACATGTGCTGGCTGAAATCTTCTTCTCCTTCTTTCGGTTTAACGGCAGCTGGCGCTGCAACACTGCCACCTTCTGGATGTAACAAGTACTCTTCTTCTTCTTAGTTAATGGCGGATTGCAAAAAACTTTTAAGTGCATACCGCCGTAACAAGTACTCAATCTAATCAGTTTTATTTAGCCTCAATTCATAACAAAGGTAATCTCATTACACTTTTCATATCGAGCAGGTCTAGAATATTATTACCAGAAACCCAACAATTCCCACCACTCCCTTTAACAGGTAGATACCTCAAGCAGAACACAGTATCTGGGTGGTTCGGCCATATGCTTCAATGACAACCCTAATTCACTGTTGTGATTAAACAACACTTTCATATTTTGTACAGATAGTGCGATTAGATGGACTTTAAGTATTTGAGAATTATGTATACTGCCCCCCCAACCCCTTCTCCCACCACACACTTCAGCACGGTGGTCTCATATGTAGACCTACTGTGTGTAAATATGTGTGTGTTAGTGTTTTACCTCTGGAAGCACCACATATAAGTGCCAACTCCAAGGAGTTAGACTTGTATTTAATTTATCAATTATGTGAAGAAGGGTTAACAGTGGCACTGTGACAGGTAGGACCAGCCATACATCTTAAAGCACTGTTATGAGCCTACAACTAGCCTGAACACCATCACTGCATCGCCTCAGCCACTCCACAGCTCAACTAGACAACCCACCAGCAAGTGCTCTTTGGATTAATCAATGTTATAATTTGAAGAGATTGTAATAGAGTAATGAATAAACCTCTTGCATCACTACTATCCTAACATGTTAGCAGTCACCATCTTTGGGTTCACAGTCATTAGGGAGGATCTATCTACCTCATTCCACTTTCTTGGAGGCCATGGGTTCATGATCCCCCAAGTCTACAGCCTATTTCAGATGTTGGACTAAAAATCATACTTTGTCCACTTTGGCTTCTGATGTTTGTTCCAACACAGCTCAAACCATCTGTAGATATGAATTTTCCTCCTATGGGGTGTGGAACATGTGAATGTTCATGCACACCAGTACCTCAAATGCCTTACTTGGGCCTGACAGAACCTCTGTGATCTGATCAACATCTGAAATTACACTGCAATTTACAAAGACAATAGCTATACAGGCTTCATGCACATATGACCCAGGCAAAGCATGTTTCATTAAGGTGTTACATTAATGCATTTAAATGGCTGCCTGTCCCACAGTGTTAAGTGTAGTGTCAGATGTTGCTTGATAATATCCTGCATTGGGATATAATAAATCTTGAATTGTGTGCTGCTGCCTTTTCATATACAGTTTATGGCTGCTGCCCGTGTGTCCCCTCCTTTAGGTCACTCCTGCATTTCCCTATTGTGTGTGCTTGTCCTTTTATGTCATATTGACATAATTGTACAACACATACCATCTGCTTATTTGAGAAAATATATGGGATTTCATAAAGGCTGTAAAAAAAAACACAATAGCTTTATGGGGAGCTTTTCATAGGCTGAGGTTATATGAGGGGACTAAACAAAAGGGAGACCACAAGTTGAATAAAGCTTTCCAATGGTGTTATTTTTTAAAAATTGAGCAATATATGAAAGATTGAGAAGTGATGTTAGGACTGAACAGTTCAACAAATGTTTCTGTAGCATCAACTACATCTTTGATAATCAGGGGGTGAAGGGATGTGAAACTTTAAAATGAATGAAAATACAGAAATTAAAAATAGTCTCTGAAGAGAGAGACTAATGTCCTTCAGAAATCAGGAAAGTGCGCGAATATTCAAATATTTGAATGCTGTACTCTCATTGGATGATTCATACTGCGCAGAGGCGACTTCGACCAATGACAATGTTTTACTTCGTCGACGTCATAACGTCAAGCTCGTTAGGAAGCAGACAGTCCGGGTAACGTCCGGCAGGATATCGACATTCAGCGTTCACTGAAGGTAAAGTAATGATTTTGTTTTTCTTAATATGAAGTTTCCTCCCAAGATATCAAGTTCTCATAAGTTAAGGTAACACTTAAGGGCGGCAGCTTGGAAAACGTTACGTTTTATTTTTCCTTTTTAATTTATCAGACTCCGTCTGGCATTAACGTTAGCTAACGTAACATTCTGCCAGTCCTTAATAAAACGTTATTACGTTATCCTTCAATGTGAATCATGCATTCGTCGTAACATTTCATACCCGTGGGTTAAGTTGCATTTGTCAGTTGTTAAGTTACATGATAAAACGATAACATTAACGGGCCTAACGTTAGTCCCTCTTGCTAACAAATAAAAGGCTGTGGCAGATTGTGACCTGCAGTGACAAAGACATATTTAAGTGACAGCTAAGTTAGTTAATGTGACTGTTAAGAATGCTAACGTTAGCTGTAGCACGTTTAGCCAGATAGCTTGATATTAATATTAATTAACTGCTCCTAAGGTTAACGTTACTGTTAACGTTACCGGTGTTATGCCGCGTACTAACGTTACTTAGTAAGACATAGATCTCATGTATTTTAGCTAACGTCAATTATTCTTTCTGAACAGAGAACCAGACTCATCACGAGTGAAAATAACGATTTGGGACCCAGAAAGGAGACTACGCTGAGGTCTGGACAGAGTGGACCATTTCGACAACTTCTCCGTGAGTGTTTAAAAAATTAGTAACAGAAGTTCATATGTAGACAGACTATAGGATGCTCAAGCAGTGTTTTCCCTATAATCCTGATCGCTGCTACTAAAATTTCCCACGATCGTTAAACTAGAAATGTTTCCACTCACACACTGTGAGCACAGTAACACTCAACCCTTGGCTCCCTTCCTCTCCTCGATCTTCAAACAACATCTACGTGACAGGTGCTGTTATAACAGCAGCGTAACTCTGAATCAGGAGGTGCGTAGCGAGTGTTTGATTGTCCGAGCGGTAGAAAGTGACGGTGAACGCGAGCGGAGGACAATATTCTGTCAGTAAATGTGCTGTGTCAGTTACAGCGTGTCAGCTTCTCAAAACTAAGAAAAGTCTGTTTGTTGTTTCCCACCTGCTGGAAAAGTGCATCCTGTCTGCGCTAGAAAACATCTCCCCTCCCCTTCAGACTGCCAGCTGAGCAGGAACGCTTCTACAGTAGGCTACATCTTTTGGCTGCTATGTAACTCAACATTAGCTCAATTTATAGAAAGAAACTGGAAGCTGTATTTTATTACTGCCTACTTGTCCAATGTTGAGAACATCAGTTAGAAACGTAGACTAAAGTGGTGTAGCGTACAGCTCTGTCTTGTAACGTTACAGACTGATTCAATTATTTTTCAGTTTTCAGATGAGTCTGAAAAAGTGGTTGTTAGGAAAAGAAAGGACAGTGGTGACTGGAGGAGCTGAGATTAATAAAGCAAATAAGTGATGCAAACTAGTCCTTATAAGCTAATGTGGAGTCGTTTCTTTTTAGATGTTAATGTGCAAATAAAATGCACCTCAGAAGGGAGGAGGTTTCTCATGTTGCCTATTTTTATATTAATGTCTTTACAGACATACAATCCTACATACAATCCTATCTATAATGATTCTGATGTCATATTATCAGGGTTTTAGGGGGTGAGGCCCAAAACATGCTGTGCCATAAATGTCTAATCAGTGTGGAGAGTATCATAACCAACCAAATTACTTTCCCCAAATCTACTGGTTGTAGTTCCTCCAGTAGACTGATCTTTGGGTGTTGGTTATTTATTATCTGCTCCAGCTTTTCACTATTTGTTCAGAGATATGGTGAAAATAATAGCCCAAGATGATGTGAAATTATATATTTGTCATTGAAAAACGTAACATTTTCTTGGGGGAAGTCAGGCTCCATTCTGAGGTGCATTTTATTTGCATCCAAATCCAAAAAGTCTCCTCATTAGCTAAAAAGAACTAGTTTGCATCACTTACTTGCTTTAATAACATCAGGTCCCCCAATCACCACCGTCCTTTCTTTTCCTAACAACCACTTTTTCAGACTCATTTGAAAACTGAAAAATAATGTGGAATGGAGCCTACCTGTCTGTAGGCTACAGGACACAGCTGTAGGCTACACCGGTTTAGTCTAAGTTTTTACCTGATGTTCTCAACATTGGACAAGAAGGTAGTAATAAAATTCAACTACCAGTTATTTTCTATAAATTGAGCTAATGTTGAGTTACATAGCAGCCAAAAGATGTAGCCTACTGTAGAAGCGTTCCTGCTCAGCTGGCAGTCTGAAGGGGAGGGGAGATGTTTTCTAGCGCAGACAGGCTTCACTTTTCCAGCAGGTGGGAAACAACAAACAGATTTTTCTTAGTCTTGAGAAGCTGACACGCTGTAACTGACACAGCACATTTACTGACAGAGTATTTTACTCCGCTCGCGTTCACCGTCACTTTCTACCGCTCGGACAATCAAACACTCGCTACGCACCTCCTGATTCAGAGTTACGCTGCTGTTATAACAGCACCTGTCACGTAGATGTTCTTTGAAGATCGAGCAGAGGAAGGGAGCCGAGCGTCGAGTGTTATTGTGCTCGCACAGTGTACAAGCGAAAATTAGTAGCGCATTAATATAATAATAGGTGTGGGAATTTTTATTAGCGGCGGTCACAATTCAGCAGTAAATAAATCTATGAATGTGCAACGATGTACTGTTCAAATCTCATCCTAATTTTAGAAAGCTAAAGAGATGTCTAACATACAATATCATACGTTATGAGCTGTGCTTTACCACATCTTTCTCACCCATGTTATGGTTCATATTCTGTGTTCAGTTTGACAAGGATCAAGAGGCCAAGGATCAGGTGGTGAGGGCAGAACCAACAGAGCAGACAGCTCTCCCACAGCCAGCCTCTGAACCTGCTCTACAGTCTGAATAGCCCGGGTGAAGTTAAACTCTCCTTTGCTGGTGCACCAGATGGCTGAGAACAGGATAGGCTGATGCCCTGGAAGCTAAGAGTGAGGCGGCAAAGGAGTTTGCAGGTGAGACTGCTGATTGCAGAGGAGCTGAAACCCACAGAGGACATGGGTCTCAATGAACACAAGGTGAGGATTGTATGGAAATCCAGCTGGTTTATTGCTGTTATGTAATCAGTGGGCTAATACACATCTTCACTTTTCAAATGGGGAAAAAAGCAGCAAGGTGTGAGTAGCCTAGTGCTCAAATATGCTATTGCAGTTAGCATCACATTAACTTTAGCTTTTAGGCCAGAAAGTCAGGATCATCTTTGGCATTCAGCTCACACAGACGGTTGCCTGGTTAATCACAGGGTTTATACACGCCCAAATACAGCACTACAGTGAATTAGCTAATGTTACCCGCTAACAGCCTAATCTGAAGAAGGTGTTAAAAGGTTAGCCAGAGTGCATTAAGACATTAAATACTGCTAATATCAGGGCATAAAATTAACAGCGGAGCAAATCTCGTTGAACTACGTTCAATGACAATAAAGCTTCTGATTCTGATTAAGCGGCAACCTAATGGCTCTGCTCTGGCGATGCTGTGAGGGTAGAAGGCAAAGTTACCATTGTGTGTAAATTGAAAACAATACGTTGATGTGTAGGAATTTTTACAAGCATGATACATCTTATCTATTTTTCAGGACAAGGCCTGGTGAGAGCCACTACAGAGGATCATAGCCATCGTTGGAATTCTGGAAGGACGTGGGTGAATATCAATCTGCCAAATGAACTTTTTTAGCATGCATATTCACATCTGTATATTAATTCTGATATGATACTATATATGACCTTGTTTGTTTGTTACTGGAAAGAAATTAGCTTCTATTGTTTTTGACTTTGAAGGACTTGACTGTGGTTTAAGCCTATGTGCATTTTCTAGATGTTGAGCATGAACAGAACTTTAAACAATGATTTACTGGGTGACTTTTATGGCGTTTTTCCATCACCAGTATGAACTCAACTCGGTTCATCCGTGCTCCGTTTTTCATTGCAGATAGTACCCAGAAATTTACCCCTCAATGTAGCTGGTCGTCATAGCAACGCGACACACAGCTGCCGCGACATAATGTTCAATGCGACACACAAACCAGCGACCCACAAACAGTCTCTTTTTTTAAGTTAAAACGTTTCAACATTGCTCAGAATGTAAAGACAGATAAGCGGTATGAAAACCTTCCAGCTGTGTTTTCCTCTGCCGTTGTTGCTGCAGCGGTCTGTGTGACGGCGGGAGTAGAGGGCTCTGTGAGCGGGTGGCTCATTTTAAAATGTTTCCCGGATTCTGCTCTGAACCTGCTCGGACTCTCAGCTACGGTTCCCCCTGCTTTGTACAGCAGCCAACAACCCGGTTCGCCAGTCGTTATGTGTGAACTACTCGACGCATAAAAACGACTCCCCGACACATTTCTGACACATCGCCAATGCCAGCCAGATATCTAACATGCCAAATATCTGGAGGAGTCTGCCGTCTCGAAATCCACATCCAGCCAATAAGAGCAGGCAGCTGCAGAGCAGGCAGCTACTTTTTCACCGCAAAACACTTTTTACTCCCCTCCAGCTCTCTCTTTAGCTCAGACGTTTCCTGCTACCTGCGTGTGCTAATCCATCCTTTCACCCAGATTCTTTGTCTTTATAATTGCTATCCTTATAATAACAAACAACAGCTGTTTTGTAGGTTTGCGTCATTTCCCGTTTCACATTTTATGTGTGTTTGTTGACAAAACGTGGTTTCACGTCAGTCACGTAGTGTGAACGCCACAACGACTTCAAGACTCCCGTCACAAGACGGCAAGTTGTGTAGTCTGAACAGCACGGCCAACGGCCGACGCTGAAAGTCGTATAGTCTGCACGAGCCTTTAGTTAGCCTAGCTATGAGAATAAATAAACGGAGTGCTCTCTCTCTCTTTTTTCTCTCTCACACACACACACAGACAGACACACCCGTGCTGCCGCTATCTCTCCCACATCAGATCCTCCCTCACTTAGCAGAACTTCTTGAGCATTTATCGTTATTTTGTTATGAGCGTGAGCTACTCTCTCCCAAAGCCCAGCAGAGAAGACTCAAACTGTGATGTTATCAGGTGTAAAATCTGGAGCCGCTTGTTAATAGACAATGAATGTGAAACTAATTTTGTAGAAAAAGAAAAACCCCACAACACTTATTTCATAGTGTCTATAAAATCTTTCTTAATTTATTGTTTTTGGAAAAGCTTCAAACCTTATATCAGATGATATCACAATTCATTTATGGTTTGTTCTTTGATTATTTTGTTTCAAAATTTAATCGGATAAACAGAAAACAAAAAAAACAGACAACGTTTTTTGTTGTTTTAAAACCAAAACGGAAAAATATTTATTTTGATAATTAATGTGTCCGATTAGTGTAGCTTTTTGTGTTACACTTAATAAACCTGCAGCAGATACACATAGGCAGTGGCGGTGCCTGATTAAATGTAGGATAATTAAGATGAGATTGAACATCAACACATTCAGTTTGTAACTCACTAGAAACTGGGACAGAAACGCCTCAGAAGTTACCCGAGAATGCTCTGGTTTTGAAGATTTCAGTATCAAATTAATTCAGTGATTCAGTAGTTGTCAGTACATCCAATGGTACTGACAACTATGAACTGTTATTAGTCAGGGCTCCAGACTAGCTTTATACACGTCCGTCTCTTATATGTCCAGAAAAAAATTGTATTATGAGATTAACATCATTATTTAATAGGAATTCATAATATTTAAGTCCACCTGACCAATAGGTACCCTGCTGTGCTTCCCTTCAGACTGTAGCCTTCTGAATGAGACAAGTGCACTGCACTTCATTGGAGGTAGCCTAAAAAACGAAACTAACACTGCCAATCAGGCAGACATCTCAGCAAAAATCCTCATGTTAACTTCTGCAGCTCCCAAACAGAGCCAGATTGTGCTTCAGGTGTTTATAATGCAAAACTCTACCAGCGAGTCTCCTGGCTGCTTCTCAGAGCGCACGCGGGTTATTTTACGATCACACCGTATGCCGAGTTGCATCAACTGGGTGGAGTTGATTATCGCCGCTAGTCGACGTTATCAGAATATAGATTTTTTTTTTCACTGCGTGAGAAGATTCATTCATTCATTCATTCATTCAACTAACCTACACAGCGCGATTGAGAGGTCAGCAAGCCTGAGAGAATAATGGATCTGTACCGCGGGAACAGGTGAGCAGCCAGCCTCCTGTGTGAGTCCGGCGTGACTGTAGTAACAACGTGAGAAGACGACCTCTGTTGTCATCAGCGCTCGGTCAGTTCAGTTTGTCATTTGCTAAGTGATTTTAATAAATAAACACATAAGCCTCTACAATCCCTTTCGTCCTAGAGGCGTCCTACAGAATATTCTTCTTCGTCCCAAACATATTTTCTATTGTCCCCAGGCCAACAGGGTTAGTCTCGAGCCCTGGTTATTAGTTAATTTGGCGAACTGCATATTAACAAATCATACATGGATTAAAATGTTTGGGTAATTGTTGTTCAGCCTTTATACACTGTTTCGACCTGACCTTTATTTTCTTCGCAAGATGGAAGAATTTAGAAAGTTGCGCGACGCTGCAGAGAGCCGCCAGCTGCAGTAACACATGGACTAGGCTATGCGTAAAATCAGGAGCATCCAGCCAGAGGGAATGACCACTGACAATGGAACGTGTGCACATAAACTGGAATGTTGCTTGTAATTACTGTCAAAAAATGAGAAAAGTTTGTAAATGTATTGGAGTTCCTTGTTATTACTGTCAAATTATGTTCATATAAGGTAAGTCCCATGCACTTACAAGAAAGGTCTGTATATATCGGAGTTGCTTATTATTACTGTCAAACAGTGTTTATATAAAGTAAACCCCATGAAGTAATGTAAAAGGTCTGTACATGTATTGGACAGTTGCTTGTAATTGCTATCAAATATTGTTTACATAAAATAAATGTGTATTTTTACATATATTGGAGAATTGCTTGTAATTACTGTCTATTAATGTCTATATAAAGTGAAACTATACATTAATGAGTAAATGTCATGTTGATATATTGAAAAGTTGATTTTAATTAATTGTAATTACTGTCAAGTATTGGTTATATAAGGTAACCCCCCATATATTAATGGTAAACGTATGTAGATATATTGGGAAGTTGGTTGTAATTACTGTAATAAAAATGTTTCTATAAGGTAAAGGCCCATACATTAAAGGTACAAATATTTAGAAATATTGGAGAGTTGCTTGTAATTATTGTCAAATAATGTTTATATAAAGTAACCCCCGTATTTAAATGGTAAAAATATGTAGAAATATTGGAGAGTTGCTTGTAATTACTGTCTAATAATGTTTCTATAAAGTAAACCCACATACATTAATGGTAAAAGCTTGTAAATTTATTGGAGATGTCTGTAATTACTGTCAAATAATGTATATATAAAGCAATAACTGTTAAAATTATGTTTCTGTAACTTAATATTACATGATCTTGGTTTTTTGTACAGGATAAAACCAATATTTAACAGGAATTTACTGTAAATGGATTGAATAATGGCATAAAATAAAAGTTTAAATCTATTAATATACTGGTATTAGGCTTTAAATTAGGGTATCTGAAGGTAAATTTACAACATTTTCTGTTTGCTTTACATAGAAAAGTCTTTACTTTGACAAGAAGTTCTTGTAGATAGATTGGATTATCTTAAAAATATACCAAGTAATACTGTATTAAAACAGCAGTCTTCTTTTTAATTATGTCATTTTAAGGTATTTCTGCAATATTTTTAGGTTTTTATACAGATTTATACATTCGTTTAACATTCAACAAATTTTCTTTTAACAGCAGTTTGACTAAAAATACAGAAAATGTTTACGGTACTTTTGCTGCCAGACTTTTTACCGTAATTTTACGATTTTATTTTTTTACAGTGCAGACATTTATCGAATCATAATGTTGTTGTGTTAATTCTTCTTTTCTTCGTCAGCCATACTGTTGGTGTTCTTGCTGGATCCTGTGGCTGTTTTCACAAAATTCCAGTTGGACATGTATTCTTCACAGTTAGGGTGAGCGCAAAGCAGGAGAGAGCCCAAATGCAAGACACTGAGAGCACAGTGTGAGATGAGTTCCAGGGTTTTAATCCATAACATGGAAAAAGCAAAACAAGGCTTACAGAGTGCAAGGACTGGCAACATCCAAAATCCAAAAAAGCAGGTGGGAGCAACACAGGTGAGTGGGATCAGGACTAATGAGACAGGCAGGAACAGAGACAGCAGGGGAAAACAGAGACAGGTATGCAGAGGAATACTGGGGGAACAGACATAACAGCTTACTAAACACTAAACTATATAAGATGTAACATATCAGAATTATATAAATAACAACTTAATTCAGACACAAGCAAAAAAAACTACAACCGACTGGGAAAACAGACTGAAGCTAGGATTAAACAGAACCAAGACCTGACAAAACCAAAATAATGCAAACACAGAAGTAGGAGTAAGTACAAAGACAATAACTAAGGCACAGAACTAAAATGCAGGGGTAAACCTAAACAAGACAGGTACAAAGTGAGCTAAACAGAACCTGCAAATGAACAATGGAAACAACAAGGCTAAACAGAGTACACAAGACAAGGAACAAAACCTCAAAACAGAAAACATGGACAAACTGTTACACAGAACGGGGTAGGGAACAGAAACGTGACCCACCAGGAAACAGGACAACAGTAAACATGGACCAGAAATAGGAAAAATACCGGAACACCACTTAACACCAACTGACAGATCATAACCAGATAAACAACATCAGGTAGAGGAAGCACACTGAGGTAGCAAGCAAACTATAAACTAAATCTAAACTAACAGAACGGCAACCGCGAATGTTGCCTATCCCAGCTGGCATCGGGCGAAAGGCGGGGTACACCCTGGACCGGTCGCCAGTCCATCGCATCCACACATAGACGAACAGCCACTCACGCTCACACCTAAGGACAATTTAGGGTCACCAATTAACCTTGTCTGCATGTCTTTGGATGGTGGGAGGAAGCCGGAGCACCTGGAGAGAACCCACGCAGACAGGGTTTTGAACCCACGACCTTCTTGCTGTGAGGCGACAGTGCCAACCACTGCACCACCGTGCCGCCCCGGGCCAAACTAATAACCAGACTAAATAACATAACCTCAGAATCAAATACCAAAACCCAGAAACAGAGAAACAAGAATCAAAATACAGCACAGAGAACTCAGGACAGGATCGTGACAGTATTTTAAGAAAGTATTCATAAAAAAAACCCTTACCTAAAAAGGACATGTTCTATTTTAAGGCACAATGTAATTTCAAGACATTGCCTATAGAATAAAAAGGAATTTCAATGGAAATTGGCCCCATGTTAAGTGAATTACATATTGCAAATTCATTCTAATTCTGTCCTGTGGCCGGGAATGTGGGAGAAAACTGTAATCCCCCCACACCAACTACTGTATCTCTGAACTATCTCATTTACCAAATCACACCAAGTGAGGCTAAATTCCCCTTTTGATATTTAATGTAATAACTTGTAATATATTTATCACTAAACCTCCCATGAAACAGTTTGGAGCCCTCCTGGGGAGGCTGGCCTCCCACTCTGCTCTAATGAAAGTCCCTCTGAACATGCCCCTGGTCTGTGCAGTCACATGACTCTCAGGAAGTAGCTTTCATTTTGGAGGGAAATCATCTACAAGAAGCAAAGTAAGCACCGATTGCAAGTAATGACCCAAACACAGCACTTATATTTATATTTAAATTCGTATTTATATATTCATGAATGGAGGAAGCAGGCTAATTAAGGGAAATCTCTTGTCCATGACACGAAAGAGTCCCCTTCCACGAATTATACACTATGCTAACTCTGTGTGGCTGTGCTCGCCTTTTTTACTTCATTCTCTTTCTATTCTCGTTTAAGTGTTAAATGTCCAGCAATTTAGCCCTGGGAAGACCATCTCAGCTGTTCAGGACTTAAGCAGCAACTAATTAATTAACGATATAATTTTAATCAGTACCTTAACGTCTTCACTATGGTAACCAATACGCAACAACAACATGGCCCGTAACGGAAGTTAACTGTTAGCTTAACGTTAAGCTCTACTAGCTTTGGTAGTAAGCTAGCAAGCTTCACTGTCCGTTAGCTGCGTTTTAGTAGTTAGAGAAGGTACCGGACTAAACCATGCAGCATCTGGTACGTAACATTACTTTATTTAAGCTTATTGTAGCAAAGTTGACACCAGTAAAAGAAGTTAATCGTTAGCTTAAAAACGCCAAAGTAATTAGGCATGACTAAATTTAGTGGTAACTTGCAAGATTCAACCTACATTTGCGGCCTTTTTAAATATCTTATTCTCGTTTTACACATGCTAACTGTTAGAGAAGATACTGGACTCAACCATGCAGCCTGGTAAGTAACATTATATGTAGGCTATATATTGTATATCACTTATATGTAATAAGCTCTGTGTTCACAATTTTGGTAGCCTACAGTTGTATGCTTCAGTTTTCCATAAAGTAAAGCCAGAACATGGTGAACCCACAAGAACAAATAGCTCTTAGTTAACATAGTGAAGGAGATGACAGAAAATCACAAGGAAAAGTACACACATGATATTAATTTAGTAATAAAAAGAATGAAAACCCCAATCCTATTATACGATGTGTTGGTGCTACCAAAAACTCATAGGGACATCCTATTATTTAGTAGCTATGTTTTCAAGCTCAAAATGATCAGATAATCTTAATAAGCATAGCTACTGTTGCACTGAACACACTGTTAAATGTTTGTCTGCTTTGAAACCTACTATAATGATATGAGTTAATGGTGTAACGGGGTAGACCTGTATCAGCCAATTTTGAGTGCAGTGGTAGTGTGAGGGGTGAGCACTTAGAGTGGGTGTGTATTTGGTGGGTGTGGTTTTGCACTTGGGTTAATTGCATGGGTATGGACTAATGGCAGACAGGTGTGCTTGGGCATGACATCCATCTGCAAACTATTTAACCAGCCACACACTAGGCTCAAGAGTCTTCTGTTTGTCTCCTGTGTGCAGTGTGCGGAGGCTGCTGATTCTTTGCAAGAGTGTGGTACACGGCTGGGTCGTGGTCTGGGGAGCTGCCAGTGTAGAGCCACCGCTACTTAGTAGAGTTACCAGAGGCCCAAGCAGTGAGGCTACAACCGACCAGCCTGTGACCACGCAGGAAGACGAAGTTGAGCACACCCAGCTACGACGAACTGCAGTTCCGTTTAACTAACAGTTTCCCCCATTTGAACTCTCTTTTTAACTATCTTAGCCTCAGTCTTGTTTTAACCCTTTGCATGTCTATTTTATACAAATAAATTTGGAGGCTATATTTTGTACAGCGTGTTCTATTGTTGCCCGCTTATTTTATACACTGTTTGGTCAATTGGGAACTAGTTTGGGGGTGTTACAATAACAATTGCCAATGTTTTTTCATGTTTATTTTCTTCATCTGCAGAGGGAATGGGAACAACTTTTGTGAGTGACTTTGGAAGGGCAGTGTATAAAAGATTGTGAGGTGTGTTAAAACTCTATGCTAATATTGTACATATTTGATTAACAGCATAATTAGAGCTGCCCGAATGTCATGTTTTGAGCTTCGACGCTTCAATAGTAATTAAGAGCGAATAATCAAAGCTTCGCCCCCCTGCTGAGTGAGGGGAGATCGGAGAGATAAGTCTGTGTGCCTGTGTGTGAGAGAGAGGGTGAAAGACAGAGAGCGCTCCGTTTATTTATTCTCATAGCTAGGCTAACTGAGTGACCAAATCTTTGTTTTTAACTTTATTATGGCAAGGCTAGCAGACCCAAGTGCAGGACTAAGAAAGGGAGAAATATATATTGCTGGTTAAAGGATCAGATATTGAGCAGCGGAAGAGCGAGGCAGAGGGAAAATATATGCCTGCCAAACCGGGTTGGTGGCTGCTGTACCGAGCAGGGGGAACCGTAGCTGAAAGTCCAGAGTGAGAGAGTCTGATCCGAGCAGGTCCAGAGCAGAATCCGGGAATAGTTTCGCCGGAGAGCGCACGGGATGAGCGGTGTCTCCGTAGCGGAACTAAAACTAACACGTTATTATGCAAGATTCACTTTAATTTAATTATACCGACA